GGTAAGAGAAGCGGGCAGACCCGCAGCTATTGCGTTCCACGTATTTCTTGTGGTGCTGCTGCTGGCTTGGCAGAAAGAAACCACCATGGCTTTTGTACGAAGCTGTATTAATTTAGAAGGCAACCCTGAGCTTTCCTGGCATGTCTTAACAGGTGGTTTGATACCAGAATAAAACTTGTCCTCTGCTGTTAAGGCCAGCACTCTGCCGGCTTCGCTCGTGCCAGTGCCAGCCAGGCCTGCAGAAGCCCTGGGATGCTGAGAATGTTGCTTGGGAACTTGGACGTTTGGCAGTTTGGAACTTGGATGTTGCAGTTGTTACGGTGCAGCGTGCTCACTGCTCATTTAAAAGTACTTGCTGCTTAGAAATAATGACTTTCCCAACTGACAGGATTTCCCACAGGGTGTTTCCTTGTGTTCCTCGCTTTGTGCCAAAGGGACCTGTCCAAGTCATTAGCATTGCTCCTTTTCTTCTCCTGCTTATATGATAGCATTGGTTATGCAGCACTGCACTCCCAAACTATTTTTTTTTTGAATTGCTGAGTACCTTTGGGGTGTATAAACTTGATTTCTTTTTGTAGATGGTCAAGAGTACAGAAAAGAAGAAGCTGCCAGTAGCTTTTCTTGTGTGCTAAAGGTAACAGGAAAGATTATGAGTGGGAGGATGGAACTGCAGTGATACAACCATAAACAAACCAGGAGCCTAGTTACTAAGATCACAAAAACAGCACCAGGATACAAATACTCATTGTGAATTAGCTGGTTTTAGTAGGCAGAAGCAGCTACACAGCTACCAGACAAGCCCATGCACAGAACTATACATGAATTTAAATATGGCAGATTTTGCTTTCTTTTCCATGTTTTGTACTTGATAAGACTCTTTGATCTCTCAGGTAGCTTAACGATAAAGACCACAGCAGTGGCTAGTTCCTGAACGTTATTGCTGTTATTGAATTAAAACTAAGGAAGGAAAGGGAGGAGGAGGGAATACGTGGAAAGGAACTCCACTGCAATGAATCAGGTGAGGACTGAGGAAGCTTGAGAAAGTTTCTGAAGTGAAAGCACACAGCGATACTGGAATTAGGCAGAGAGAGGGACAGAAGTCCCCAGACAAGCAGAGGGATGGACACAGAAGTATCACTTGGTAACATCACAAGAAGGCAGTAGCTGCAAATAGAAGAATTGAGAGGCCTTGATTTCTTGCAACACTTCCTCCTGATTTAGATTCTAAAATAACAGTATCTTCCACTTACTCCCCTAAAGGAATTGACTTTAACAGGATATTCCTTTTTTCTATTTACCTGAAAGAAAACAACGATGCTTTACAAGCTACAAGTGGTATCTTCACAATGCCTGGAATAAAAAGACCACCGACCTTCTGTGCAGTGCACCACACGTCACTGCCAGCGCCAGCGCTTGGAGCTAACCGTGCTCAGCTCTAAATGCCTTAGGTGCGTGCCCTGTATCTGTCCTGCGTGCCCTGTATCTGTCCTGCGCTTTCAGTCTCACTCGGTCAGACTCCAGCCGAGCTGCATCTGAAAGAAAACTTGAATGGGCTGTAAAGTATCTGCAGTCAATCCATGGACTATTTTACTGGTATGTTATAGGCTAATTACATAGCTGCTAATTATACTAGAAAACACGTGGAATAGCTTCCAGACTCCTAGTGCTACATTTAGCAAACCTCACATATAATTACTTTACATGCAATTACTGGCACTGTTGCTGCCCCTTTCTGATATATTTAGAGCTGGAAACCATCAGTGAAGGTAATCGGTCAGGACATACATTCCGAGTAAGACACTAATCCCAAGGTGGCCCCCGGTGTCCCTGCGCAACGGGAACGCAGATGGCTGTGATCTGTGTCCTTTGCCTCGCTCGGCAGGCCCAGCCTTTCCTGAGCTCTCACCTCAAATTAGAATTTGAAGCATTTGTACTGCTGACTAAACTCCAAGATTTCCCAGATATCTCAATTACAGAGTCTTCTACCTGCAAGGCAGAGAACAGTCTTTTCAGTGATCATCACGCCAATTTCAATTTCAAGGTTTAAATTTCAAGGTCTGAACTCACACTAGTGCTCCTGAAGGCACTGCCGGATAATGTGACTGTTGGCAGGAGGAATTCTACATCTATCCCCGAAACAGTTTGATTGTGGTATGCCTGTGACTACGCCCTTTCAAGAGCTGAGATTGCTGTTTATGATGCTGTCCTGTGTAATAATAATAATTGACGCAAACGTGACAGTTCAGTTGAAACCATCTCATTTACAAACAGAAAATCAGCAGTATTGGTGCAGATCGATATTGTCGTTACTGCTTATCACTCATTAAATACGTACAGGCTTAATGCTGTTGGCTCACAGTTGAGCCCCGATCTTTTATAATATTGGTTCAAAAGCAGCACTCACAGGGCGAATCTTCAGCATCCTACATTTCATGCAGGACATTTCAGGCTGTCCTACCTCGGCAGAGCTGTTTACCACTGTATCACAATGAGCGTTTCTTCCCACTCTGCATTTGGGGCTGTACAATCAACAAACAACAACAAATTTACATTTGTTTTATTTATTTCAACACTATGATTTTAAGAGCCTAAAAATGCAAGTTCTTCCCTTTATTTCTGCAAGTAGCACTGCAATCATAACTTACAAAAAAGTTTAAAATACAAAATGTACATGAAATTACAATACAAGGCTCTGTAAACATCTAGAACTTAATCTTTATTGTCCCATATTTTTAAATATAAAACTTCAATTTGCATGATTTCCAAACCTCAAGGAATGACATCCATTGTGAGTATCAAAAATAGACTTTTCAAAGCTTTGTTTGTATCAGAACAAAATGGTCATGTTCTTTTCATTCTTTGGTTTAAAAAAGATGGCAGTTCCACTGATAACATATGAAAGCTTTACTACAGAAATTCAGATTGGTAGGTCATAGTAACTTCAGAAATTAAAACTTTTTTTTTTTTTCCCCGCTCCATGGATTACCATACTACCCATTAATTTTTGTTTTTAACATTGATCTTTGATCACGCCTTATAGAGGAGCTACTTCATCATTAAGGCTTTCTTTCAAGTTTAGAATCTAAATTAGTAGCAAGTTTTGGAAGAGGGCTCAGGGAGGAGAAAGAACTTAAGGGCAAGAAAGTGGATGCCAACAAAATATCAACCACCGAAGGGTCCTGTTGTTGAATTAAATTTGCATAGTCCAATAGAGATTGTGTGCTTTTTATACCACTAAAATTATACAAGATTAACAGTCTTTCACCTACATTATCACACAAGCTAAAATAAAATTAAGACCCTTGTACTGAAGCTTTTACAAGGCAAATACAAAACTGCTTTAGTATCCAAAGCTATTTTTTTTTAATTTCATTTTTAAATAGGAAAGCATCTCTATGTCTACAGGCATCAAGGTATTTAAAGGCATCAGAAAATTTAGTGCATAGCAACTCTGGATTGTTTGGGCTCCTATATTTCAGGTACAGTATGAATTCCAGCTACTTACTTGGAGAACTTGCAAGGAGAAGTCTGTACCAGTAGGATAAGGAGCATAAATCCCATACAGTATGAACAGCTTTGAAGTTAGAATTCTCCTACAAACAACAGTTAATGCAAAAGACCTGGTACACGAATGAAAACTGGGACACACCTTGCCACCACCACACAGTCTGAAACAATTACATATCTTACAGTGCTTTTTTTTTTTTTTTAAACCTTTTTTGTTTTGCCTTTTTTTTTTGTAAAGAAGTGTTTAAAAACATAAGTACATGTATTTCTGAACATGTCAACCCTTTTATAGGATAATTAATGTAAATGAGTAGAAGACAGAGTAAAGCACCATCACTAAGAGACAGTTAAAATAATCACTTTTCAGGTTACAGCCCTGCTACGCTTTTTTTTTTTTTTTTCTCCTTTCAAATTAACAGATTTGCACCATTGAACTGTACATTCACAAAAGGGATGCTTAGATTCCCAGCATACACATAGTGGCCTAGCATTAAATTGTTTGAAATAGGTTGCACTCTCAAAAGGAATTAATAAAATGTTCTAATTTCACCCACTTACTGTATGGCTATTTTCAAAGGCAATGATTCGACTATTACAGAAGTGTGCCTAGATCTACTTTAATGGTATTGCTTGGACTGTGACTTAAGTTTAGGTGTAACATTTTGTGTACAAGAAGCTCAAGGTAAAGCCTCCCCTGATTGTCTGCCAAAATGCCGCATAGAAATATATATTTACTTCGTTTTTTTTTCATTAATGGAACCAACTTTAAGATGTTCTGCTGTGATTTTTAAGAGTCTGTGGTATTTTTCTACAGACTAGAGGTACATCTTCCCCATGTGTTCAGCTAGTAAAATGTCCACAGTTGTCTGAGCTAATCTGGATGCAACTACCCTATTTTTCGATAATTCTGAATGTGTTTGCTCTCTTGTGCTGAATGTGTTTTGAGAGAGCATCATGACTCACCCAAATGAGAGCTAAAAAAAGTCTTAAGTATTTGAGGTTCGGCGTATTTCTGATCTTACTTTGTGATTGTTGTTTTACCCTGTATGAACCATTATCAGAGAGCTTCGTAAACTACCATTTCTTTAGGGAACAGGAGGGCATTGGGGTGGTGTTGGTCGTGGGTGTTTCTGGCCTAAACGGGCAGTTTCAGATCCTCTCCTAGGTTCCTAATCATAGAGGCCTGAGATTTCTTGATAACTGTGTAAACATTATCAGATTATGTGGGAAATGGAAATACATCCTTTAAACACAGCACAAAGTAAACTGCTGTCATGAATCCTGTGCATTTCTTTGGTAACTTCTGCCTCACGCATTTACAATTAAAAAAAAAAATGGGCAAATTATGCTACTTAAACATTAATTCACAGTAAATTATGTTGTATCAGACTAAAGCTTATAAACGGTTTAAATTTAAGGAACTGTAATTGTCACCTCCTTAGGACTTCAGAGTGGCAGGTTCAGGCATACAGTATGTAAGAGGGACATGACCAAATGGTTTATTGCATGGAGAATTTGAAGCCACCAAATCGGTAATTTCAAAACAGCTTTTGTAGTGATAACAGGAACACCCAGATCCTCAGCAAATATTAAATTCCTTCTGTATCTAACATGGCTTTGAATTTGCAGTTCTTTACTCTAAAATCCTAGTTCTCAAATTTGATTACAAATGTAACTTTCTAAGAAAAAGCTATTTCAAGAAGGAGCCTGTGCTAACAAAGTACAGGAAGATTATCCACAAAGTTATAAAAGTTAATTTTGGAATGTCATTTCTATCCCAACACTTCCAAGATGGAATGGTCTTTTTGCAGCCTATCAAGTAACATTTTCAGTTTATAAACAAGTGCAGATCTACATTTGGCTTTGCTTCCTATGAATCTAAGAGAGAAAACACTATAAAGTATTTGTATACACACTGACTTCCACGGCATTGGCTTCAGATGACAAGTATGATTTGCCTCTGGAAGATCTTATTAAAAAAATTTAAACAATATAAGCTTAAAGGCTTTCCAAAATGACCAAAAGGTGTTACAAATCATCAGTTACAATTATGCTATCTCTAAGGGAAAGCAGCACACTGAAGAGGTGTATTAAATCTTTCTCCACGTTCAGTACTGTGAATATTATAAGAGCAAACTAACATCTTCACACGTTTGAAGCACTTACAATATAAAAGTATTCTATTTAAATGCAAAAAAAGCAAAGCTTGTTTGCAACTTTTGAACAGTTAAAATATCTGGTGTAGATTCTGTGTGTCCATTTTAAGAAGTCACTTTACAGCATCTGAGGAACTATCATTATAAATGCTCTGTCTCTACATCAAAAATGAAACCCACTAAAAGGGCTATGCAAGGATCCACTGTTCCAGTTCATAAAGGCCACAGAGTTGGAAGCACAGTAAGTCTAAAGAGGAAGAGGATGAAGTAATATTCAGAGAAATTGTGAAGCTTTCAAGGATGCTCAGTTGTAAGCTTATCTGCTACTGGATTCCATCAGATATTCCTGTCTCCAGAGACCCAGGGCATGTTTGCGGAGACTGGCTGGCCACTGCTGTTCCATGTGACACCGAGATCTGAGACATATCTCTTCCTATGATCTCATTCACTACAAAAAAAAAAAAGTCTGTTTTAATGCTTACCAAAATGCAGCACTTACCAATACATCTCTTTAAAATAAGTATTTTGGTGCTCAGGATGAAAAAGAAAACTAACTCCATTAAGTTATGCAAGAAAAAAACCAAAATGTTCTAGCTTCTTAGTTTTGCACTTCATACTTACCATAATCCATGATGGAGGATCCCTGAAACACTTAAGGAATGCGAGCAAACAATTAAATGTACATTCATGAAACCCAGGTGACTGACAGGCACAGCACAGGCACGTTCAGCAAAGACTTCCCCAGAGAACTCGGCCATGCAGGAATGTAACGGGAACAAGCACCACTGCTGTGGGAATCTTGGCCATATCAGGCTATCACAGAACTTCCTCAACTTGGATTTGGGCTAATACAGTAATTTTGTAATACATACCTAACTAGCCAGTCTTCTGAAAATTTGTATTTCTGAAATTGCAGTAACTTTTAAAACTCAGAATCAGAAAACTTTTTCTATCAAAAAGAATTGAGACTGACTAATGTGAGGGCTGAATTGTGTGTGCGTGTGTGTGTGTGTGTGTGAGATAATTTATCAGACGAGTCAATTATTACTACTTACAAATGGTCAATTATTGCTATTAACAAATGAGGGACACCCCCATAAATACAAGAGATTAGTGCAGAAGTCATCAACAAATGGAAGTTTCACTGTTACTCTAAAGCCTAGACAAAAATGCAAGTATTATTTAATTTGGGAGATGACAGAAATCATTTTAATGGTTGAGCTTAAGTGCACTGATGTGAATTATCCCCACTTTAAAAAGAAAGCAATGACAAGTTAACTGAGAAAAATGAATGGGTAATATTCTAGGGTGGGGAAGAAAAACATTATATTTAATATAGGAAAAAACAGACCAACAAAAACACATAGGATCCTAGACACAGCAATTATGGTAAATGTTTTTCACATAGTATCAATAAATATTGAATCTCTTAAAATTAAGACATTTGAAAATGCCAAATTATTACAATTAAGAAAACCTCTAACTCAAACTTCTTAGAGATTTTATAAGCTTTTATGAAAACTGTCTACATTTTTAACAAAAATAAATGTTTAATGCCAGAATGGAATAGCCCTGTCATTCCTTACATTTTCCTTTAGAAGAACTTGGCGGCAGGGGTATACGTTTAATCTGAGGCTAGTACAGATTTACATGGCTTATATGGATTCACATTAGAAACATGTACAATTTCTAACTGAAACATAGTGCCAATAATTCCTCCCCTTCTGTCTTTGCAACACACAAATTTAGTGCAACAATAGAACTTGTGCTCATGCTTGTGCTAGGACTGTTACATTTTAAACCAAAGCTGTAATCAGGTACCCCAGTTTTTTGGCAGGGTTTTTATAAGCAGTGTCTCAAGAAGTTCTTCCTGACAAAGATGCAAACCTGAACCCTCCTTCTGCCATGTCTCTGCCACACTGAGTGGCTTTTCACTTTCACCTCGCCCATAACTGCCTGCTCAACACATTTTATTTTATGCTTTCTAAGAGTCAAGAGTGCCCCTTTCACATTGCAGCTGTCTAAATCTAAGCAACAATTGTACAAGGGGAAGCCTGCAGAATTAGAAAGCTAAAGGACAGTATTTGAATATACAATACATCACCTTCCTCCACACACAGTCATTACACACTAGAGCATGCAGCGGTCTGTTGGTTATATCTCAATGTTTAACTCACAAACATAACCATGGATTTTTTTTCATCAATATTGCTTAGCAAAATCCAGCAAGCAATTAGATACCAGGAAAGCAAGATCTACTTAGTCAATTTAGTACAGGCACTTGTATTTTATAAAATTTCCTTTCGGCCTTCAGCACATGTTCCTTGGTGTTATGGTGGCCTAGTTAATATTTAGTACTGATTTATTACTTATTCATCACTTGAAAATTGTTTTGAGCTATCGGCAACAACTAAGCAGATAACATTAAAAGAGCCAACAAAGGTTTTATGTGCTAATAATCAAAGCTGCTAATCTTGAAGTAATGACTAGGTCAGAAGCAGGATTCATGACAAGATCAGTACTGAACAGGAATAAAATCAAAATGAGATACGTCTGGCACATGCTATAATCTCTAAAAATATGGCACATCCCTCACCCATAAAGGTGAATACAGCATTTGAAAACTTGATTGTGGGATAAGGCATGAATCAAAATGCAATGCAAATTTGTTTCTCTCCCTCTCCGTCTGTAAAACAAAAATAAATTTTTATAACTATCCTGTGTCTATTTAATTGACCTCTTTGGCAGTTATCCCAGATTTCAGAATTTCAATTCTTGCTTTCTTTGCAATAGATTCACCTTTTTCTTCCTCAGTATTTATACAAAATGTAAACTAGCAGCTAGATTTATACTAATAGTTAAAAATAGATTGTGCAGAACAGAATTTAGGTTGGTGGGAAAAAACACTTCGCTGCAGACTGAGATGGAGCTCTCAGTACTGACAGTACTACTGTGTACTGCATTTTTTTCTCTCTGCACAGCATCTAACAAAACATGAAGATGATCTGGAGGCCCCTCTTTTTTTTTTTTTTTTTTTTTAAATGCTAACAAACTCTCACCAATACCAGTAGGACAGAGATGAAGATAACCAGTTCTAACTTCTGGATTTGCTGTGAGGCTTGTAAAAAGAGCAAGCACATACTTGCTCTATTCATGGACTGTTCCCACTGTTTTGACTTCACATAGTGTTCTGTTTGCTTTTAAGTCCCTGCTGACTGGCACATGAAAGACAGGGAGCTGCTGAGATGGATACAGAATATGGGCCAGAGCTCCTTAGAGGCCCGTTTTTTTTTTTTTTTTCCCCTCCCCTCTCTCTCTTTCTTTTCCTTTTAACTCTTATGCCGGGTGCTTTGCTTCCTGATCACTGAAGCCTTGCCCTGGGACAGCTGATAAAGCTGTTAGGGGCAGGAACAGCCAGACCGCTCATGAAAATTTTCAAAACTGCTCTAATTTGCAATCCAGAGTTTAAGAAAAACTAAATTAGGAATAACAGCTCAGCCATCTGCGCAGTGAGACACAGAGCTAGGGATAATAATCTCATCAGCTGTTCCAGTAAACGGAACTGGTGCTTTGACACTTCAGTAAGGTGTATTTTTCCTTCCATTGCTTTGTTTTTCGTCCAGTTTACAACGGCACTCTCCGAGTGTGAGAGTAATCCATATGACTTGCCATACCTGTAGCATCTGACATATTTGCAGCAAATATTTTATATTAGACTAATAACGCATTCAGATATAGCATAAACTCTGAGGTAGATACTTGAAGTGATAACAAGAGAAGCAAATGATCTTTTTCAATCAAATGCCAACAAAATACTAGTATGTTTCTACACTAGTCTGTGCTTCAGCTCCTGCAAGTCTCTGTAAATACCAACAGAAAAACACTGGAGCATAAAGTAATTCCTGATCTTTCTGGGAACAGCATTAAGCAACCTTTTTTCCCCATGCAGAAAGCTAGTAATCTGTAATTGGCACCTATACTTTCTACAGAATAAAATGATCTCTCTCATAAGCAATTACTGAGCATTTTAAGTTTTCATAGGTGAAAAAGCACTACTTCCATGGAGGACAACAAGAAAATCAGCTTGGATTGCATCCCATTTGGTAGATGTCAGTAGATACACAGGCAAACACAGAGTGATCCTTCTGCCACGTCTGTCAGCCTCCAAAACATCTCTGGCTTAGAGAATTCCTGAGCCAGAGCTAGTGTCTTTTGGGCTAAGAGAATTTGCATTCTCTTTTTCTCCCCATGAGTCTTTTTGATCTACCCAAACTCTGGCATGCACATCACTGTGTTAACCTTGCTACATAATTACTTCATTTGCTCAATGCTGCTTGTTGCCTTACTTTAAAAGGCATTTCCACTATCTCTTCCACGCCACCCATTAGTTTTATTGATCTTAGTCATATTCCTCTCCTTCATTTTCTTTTCTAGACTGAAGAGTCCTATCCCATTCAACATAATTTCCCTTCGAAACCTTAGTCAGGCTAGCTATTCTCATTGAAAACAAAATAAATAAATAAAGAACTCTCCCCTGGGGCCTAAGAACTCTCCCCTGGGGCCTAAGAACTCTCCCCTGGGGCCTAAGAACTCTCCCCTGGGGCCTAAGAACTCTCCCCTGGGGCCTAAGAACTCTCCCCTGGGGCCTAAGAACTCTCCCCTGGGGCCTAAGAACTCTCCCCTGGGGCCTAAGAACTCTCCCCTGGGGCCTAAGAACTCTCCCCTGGGGCCTAAGAACTCTCCCCTGGGGCCTAAGAACTCTCCCCTGGGGCCTAAGAACTCTCCCCTGGGGCCTAAGAACTCTCCCCTGGGGCCTAAGAACTCTCCCCTGGGGCCTAAGAACTCTCCCCTGGGGCCTAAGAACTCTCCCCTGGGGCCTAAGAACTCTCCCCTGGGGCCTAAGAACTCTCCCCTGGGGCCTAAGAACTCTCCCCTGGGGCCTAAGAACTCTCCCCTGGGGCCTAAGAACTCTCCCCTGGGGCCTAAGAACTCTCCCCTGGGGCCTAAGAACTCTCCCCTGGGGCCTAAGAACTCTCCCCTGGGGCCTAAGAACTCTCCCCTGGGGCCTAAGAACTCTCCCCTGGGGCCTAAGAACTCTCCCCTGGGGCCTAAGAACTCTCCCCTGGGGCCTAAGAACTCTCCCCTGGGGCCTAAGAACTCTCCCCTGGGGCCTAAGAACTCTCCCCTGGGGCCTAAGAACTCTCCCCTGGGGCCTAAGAACTCTCCCCTGGGGCCTAAGAACTCTCCCCTGGGGCCTAAGAACTCTCCCCTGGGGCCTAAGAACTCTCCCCTGGGGCCTAAGAACTCTCCCCTGGGGCCTAAGAACTCTCCCCTGGGGCCTAAGAACTCTCCCCTGGGGCCTAAGAACTCTCCCCTGGGGCCTAAGAACTCTCCCCTGGGGCCTAAGAACTCTCCCCTGGGGCCTAAGAACTCTCCCCTGGGGCCTAA